CTATTACTGCCTGGTTTGGGGGCTGTACAAACCACCTACGGCTTCCATCCCCCCAAAACCATGGAGCAGCCAAAACCATTTTCCACCCCGTGTACTCCTCCTATATAATGCTTTTTCCATTACAAAGGCCCTTCATTTACCAGAGGAAACCTGCCTATCTCTGGACTGAATCTGACTGAGAGACTTGGACAAACCCTCAATACAGAGTATCTTCATCCCTCAACGACCTCTATTAATATTTTTGTGCTCATCTTTGTTTCTACAGCTTCCTATTATTGAAAAAATAAGGATCATTGCTCAGAAGGTTTATGGAGCTGAGGATATAGAATTGTCTCCTGCAGCACAATCTCAAATCAGTCGTTACAGCAAACAGGTAAAGTGACATCAAAGCACACAATCAGGAACACACTGGACTTGATTCTCCACAGCCTTGCACCTTATACTTATACTTGTGCAAATGGAGTACAAAGTGGTTGTAAAATGTTATCACATCAATATGGTCCATTTTAGGGCTTGTCTACATGGCATAGTGCATTGAAGGAGTGTGATTTGTAAAGTGCATTAATGCAATTGACGTTAATTGTTTCAAAGAGGACTATGTTAACATGAACTAAGTACCTGCGAACTATCAGGGTCTACAAGGGGCAGATGGAGCACAACATAGAATCATAGAAATGTAGGGCTCGAAGGGACCTCGAAATGTCATCAAGTCCAGACCCCCTGCACTGTGGCAGGATCAAGTAAACCTAGACCATCCCTAACAGGTGTTTGTCAACTGGTTTTTAAATGCTTCCTATGATGGGAACTCCATGACCTCCCTTGGAAGCATGTTCCAGAGCTTAACTACCCTGAGAGTTAGAATTTTTTTTCCTAATATCTAACCTAAATCTCCCATACTGCAGATTAAGCCCATTACTTCTTGTCCTATCTTTAGTGGACATGGAGAACAATTGATCACCATCCTCTTTAGAACAGCCCTTACCATATTGGAACAATGTTATCAGGTTGCCCCTCGGTCTTCTTTTCTCAAGACTAAGTATTCCCCATTTTTTCAACTTTTCCTCATAAGTCAGGTTTTCTAAACCTTTTATCATTTTTGTTGCTGCCCTCCTGAACTCTTTCCAATTTGTCCACATCCTTCCTAAATTGTGATGCCCAGAATGGACACAGTACTCCAGCTGGGGCCTCACCAGTGCCGAGTAGAGCGGGACAGTTACCTCCTGTATCTTACATACAACATTCCTGTTAATACATCTCAGAATCATACTAGCCTTTTTGCAGCTGCATCATATTGATGACTCCTATTCAATTTGTGGTCCACTATCACCTCCAGGTCCTTTTCAACAGTACTACCGCCTAGCCAGTTATTCCCCATTTTGTAGTTGTGCATTAGATTTTCCCTTCCCTAAGTGAAGTAATTTGCATTTGTCTTTATTGAATTTCATCTTGTTGAATTCAGACCAATTCTGCAATTTGTCAAGGTCATTTTGAATTTTAAACCTGTCTTCCAAAGTGCTTGCAATCCCTCCCAACTTGGTGTCATCTGAAAATTTTATAAGCATACTCTCTATTCCATTATCCAAGTCATTAATGAAAATGTTGAATAGTACTGGATCTAGGACTGACCCCCGTAGGACCCAACTAGATATGTCCTCCCAGTTTGTTAGAAAACCTTTGATTAACTACTCTTTTACTACAGTCTTTGAACCAGTTGTGCACCCCCCTTACAGTAATTTCATATAGACCACATTTCCCTAGTTTACTTATGAGAAAGTCTTGCGGAACTGTGTGAAAACCCTTACTAAAATCAAGGTATATCATGTCTAGTCTTCCCCCTTACTCACTAGGTCAGTAATCCTTTCAAAGAAAAAGATTAAGTTGGTTCGGCATGATTTGTTCTTGACAAATCCATGCTAACTTTTCCTTATAACCCTATTATCCTCCAGATGCTTACAAATTGATTGTTTAGTAATTTGCTCCAGTATCTTTCCACGTATTGAAATTAGAGTGACTGGTCTATAATTCCCCAGGTCTTCCTTGTTCCCCATTTTAAAGATAGGTAGTATATGTCAGAATACTTTACAAATCACAGCCCTCTGTTGTGCTTTGTCATCACCATGTAGACATTTCCTTAAGACTCACTTTGCACAAGTGTAAATATCTACACAACGTGCAAGGTACTGGAGAATTGGGCCAAAAATTGGACAGGTTTGATTTTATATTTGACAGAATATAATAAATTCAACTTTTTTCTTATCTGATACATTCAATATTTGTGTTTATTGGTTTTTCAAGCTGGTGTATAAGCCACAGCACATGGGTCAATAATCTTTTTTTCAAGATAAATTTCATTTGTACAAACTGTTTCTTCCATGTGGTTAATCACAATCACTTTCCTGTTAAGGCATCAATTACTGCTAGATTGCATATCATAGGTGCTATTTGTACCAAGACTTTTCAGTCATTCTGGTGAAAGGCAGCCTTCTCTCTGTCAAGCATCTCTTTTAAATATCGTGAGTGTGTCTACATGTTTGAAAACTGGGTGCCTTTATTTAATCCTAAAACAGATGATTGAGTAGATGTGTAATAGGTAAAATGCTGCAGGCTAGGGACTTCATTTGCAACTTTAAAAATCAGAATTAGATGTTTTCCTAAAAGATAGGCTCTGGTTCAAACAGGAATTATTTTGGGGAAGTTCTGTGGCCTGAGTTAGATAGAAGGGCAGACTACATGATCACAGTGGTCCCTTCTTGCCTTGGAATTTGTGACTGTATTAATCTGTGAATAACCTTACAAATAATATTTCTTCCTTCTTTATCTTCTGTCAGGGTTTTGGAAATCTTCCAATTTGTATGGCAAAAACTCACCTGTCCCTCTCCCACCAGCCTGAGAGGAAAGGTGTTCCAACTGGCTTCATTCTTCCTATTAGTGATGTGCGGGCCAGCATCGGAGCTGGGTTCATCTACCCATTAGTAGGAACGGTGAGTGACAAATATTAGACTTGAAATGTATCTTTTCTCTCTCTTCATAACACAATTTGTCATGCAAGCACATTTCCCTTTTGCTATTCAGAGCAACAGACTATAAGTAGTTATGTGAGTTTTCGTTTGTTATATAAGTGATCCCAGAGAGTTCATGTTTTAAAAATCATTTTATTCTTCTGTGCCTTTTGGCTCCAGGCTAGTAGGACAAGATGGGCTAGTGTAATTCCTCAGCTGGAGTTTCACGTTTCACTTGAAAAAGTAGCTCTTGTGTTGGTGTTTTGGACATTTTCAGGTGAGCTTAAGGGAGTTAGGCACCCAAATCACATAGAAAATGAGATTTACAAGCCCAGCTTTCTTAGTTTCCTGAAAACCTCAGCCTGTATCCACAGCCTGCTGGATTTAGATGGATGGACTGAAGCATTTGCATGCGTATTTTTAAGTATATTTGCCAGTATCAGCTATTCTACTATGTTTGCATAAAGTATAAGATACTAATATAAACCCATCATTGCATTTTTAGGAATAACTTTGTAACTCTGTTCATCATAGAAACATTTCTTCCTACCCATCCCTTCAAAGTAACAGCTTAGAGTACAAGGCTTATAATACGTAACGTTCCACTTTTTCATCTGGTGTACTGTTGTGATTCGTAGAAGCTGCTGTCCTTATCGCCAGCCATATTAATTTTGTTTGTGAACCGCTTCTGACATCACATAGCATGAGCTATTACTAGTCCTGTAGCTGAATCATGGAATGGTGCTAGAGAAGGGACACAGGCACTACTGCATTTCCGGAGGAGAACACTTGCCTGGTGTTATCTCATCTTCCCAGAACGCAGCATGATTTCCTTACATGGCAGCACACTGGGGAATGGCTGAGAGCATCTAATTTATTGTTTTAAATTCCCTCTGAAACAATCAAATATTGAAAGCAAGGAAGGAAGTTGTTCCTGAGAAGGAGAGGTCCTGGAGTTCAGGGAACTGTGTCATTAGGACTCACTGGCCATGGGGATATGCTTTCTATGTACATGACCAGGGTAAGTGCATTCAGCACAAGTGCGGCACAGTAGCTACTAGGATTTTCTAAAAGTGCTGTCAATCATATGGTTGGACGCTTCCATGTACAGCTAGTAAATGACACTCATAACATCCGATACTTTGATGAATAAGACTAAACTCGAATTACTGACAATAGAATGAAATAATTAAAAGTTTTCTTCTTACTGCCAAATTCCATCTTGGACTGCATACATACATATGGCCAGGCAGGGAAATGAAAGTCAGATACTGTCTGGTGCCCCTTCAAATTCATGGAAATGCTACTCTTTAGGTTGCCAGAGAAGGATGTGCTGGGGTTGGGCTTAGTAGTGAGGCCTAGTATGCATATTTTAGTGTATACTAGCCATGATTCAGCATAAATCTATGTCTTGTGCAGATTACTGTTAGGCCTAACTGGAGTAATGTGCATGGGGAGGGTTGTCCATGGGTCAGTGGTGGCCAGAATAAGGGCTCAAGTGTGCCTTGTATGGTGTTTGCCCATCTGGGGCAGTTATGCCAGTTTCGAGCCTGGAACCAAAATTTAGGTGGTCATGGAGCAGGTTTTGCATATGTAATTTCCGACTGTACAGACTTTGAAAGGCACATGTGAGCCAGGCACTCTATCTTTAATGAGAGACATAGTGCTCATATGCAGATCTTTTTCATATCAAGAACTGAACAGACAATTTAATGTGTAACCTACAGTATGTCTGTATGTACTTGTAGTCATTCTTTATTATTATGTATTTGTATTCTAACAGAGCCTAAAGACCCCATTGTACACACATAGAGTAAGTGTCCAAAGAGTTATACTCTAAATAGACAGACACTGGATGTAACATACAAGCAGAATGATCACATGATTATATGCAAGAGTCATATTAATTCTACAATTTCCTCTTTTCTTGTTGTTTGGTTGATTTTTTTCAATACTATACTTTAAACTAGTTTTTCTAATATTGCTTACATAAGGTAATCATAACAGCCCCTCTTTAAAGATTTGTTGGCACTTGTGAACTTGTTAAGCAAGACATTATAATCCAGTGACCACTAAGGAGTCCAACTAAAATTTCTTCTGTGGCTCTTAGTTTATTCATTTCTACTTTATATAAAAAATAAAGTAAATTTATAAAATAAGCTCCTTAAAACTCTTGTTGTCCTATACAAACTAAATGTAATTAAATGAAAATAAATTGTTATTTAAAAATATAGATCCTGTTATGAAGTTCCTGGTTTTAGTAGCATTTTGGAGCTCTGGAATCAGATTTCTAGAAGGATCACTCATAAAGCGTTATCACTCACTCACATTACAGAGTTAAAGGTTATGATTGTCATTAAACAAACTGTAGTGATAGTTTAGTGCATTTTTCTCTTTCACCCCCATCCAGATGTTCCATGCTCTGGAAGTGCTATGCTGTCAGCAAATTTGCGTGTTTCATTGAGCCCTAGGATTTGCAGGCATTATTCTTTCTTCCACAGCTCAATATTCCAGAGTCACTTAGTCTACATATGTAAGGAAGCCACCTGAAAACATTTGGTTAGCCAAAAAAAAAATTAGAAGGGGATGAATGCTGGAGGTTTTTACCTTGATCATCAAAGTAACCAGTGATCAGATACTATGGTACTATCCTTAAAATAGATAGCACTTGGGAAAACATCCCATTTTGAGATCAGGTTGGATTAGATTACAAAGAAGAAAAACGGTATTTTAAAAATAATTATTTTGTTGGTTCAGTTAGGGAAGGGACAAGGATCCTAATATTTAATCTGCAGAGACCCTTAAGGTGTTCGGAAGTCTTTTAATTCCACAGTACATGATATAGCACAGCACATTCATTGAAACTGCAACGATAATTCTAATACTAATTAAGTGTCGGGCATCACACTGTAGTCTTAAAGTATGATTTTCACCTGTAGGTATTCCCTTCACTTCAACATGGAAGAGCTGTTCAGTTGTTTTTGTTAATCGCTTTAGTACAGCAAACAGCTTATTAGAACTCTGCTTTAATTGGCATGGCTCAAAGCTCTCTACTATAAGAACAAACTTAACCTGAAAGAGTATTTTCAAGAAAAAAAGGTAATAAATTCTCTTTCAGCAATAATTATTTGCAATAACAAACATGTGATTTAACCTTGTATCACTAGAATGTGTAAATTAATGCAATTCATATTTAACCTAGCATTGAAATGGGACATATAGCTTCTTGTGTAACACAAACATGGTATGTTGTCTTCACATTCTATAAGCAGTGTTAGCTTTGTGTTATGGTTGGCTCTGTTTCCCTTTCAGCATGGAAGTCTTTCCAGGAAAAATGAACTGAGCCTTATCAGAGGAAATCAGCAGTAAAACAAGAGGTGTATGTAATTAACACTGCATGGCTTTTATCACAGTTCCCTGTGACCCTGACCCATGGGCTGCATCACTCTCACAGGTGGACTGTTGACATCATTGCTTGGCTTTACAAAGTGGAGGCAGGAAGGCTGTTGGAGTATGTTTAGGAAACCAGTGAAGTCATTCACTAGTAATGCTTGGGTGGAGAATTACTCGATTTTGTAATGTGATTCTACCCACCCTCAGAAAGCCACTGCAGTTTTGTACTTTCTCACTTTTCAGCTAAGCCACTTTTGTTGTTGTTGCTCTGTTCCATATACTGCACAAGTATGCAAGCTTCTTTTACTGCAGTTTGGTTCAGTTAAGAAACAGTATTTTTAATCATGCAAAAAATGTCTCTCCTTTAAGAGATGAGAAAGAAATGACTTTGCCATTAATTGTGAGGTATTCATAGTACAACTACAACTTTTGCCATGATTCATCTCTGATAACATCACTGTGAACTTGAAACATTTACAGCCCAAGTCACATTTTAAATAAAGATTTTTAAATACAGGTTAATGTTATTTATAAGGCAAGATCCAACTGAAAATATGCACAGCCTTGTGCACCAGGCAAGCCCTGGAATGTGTCAGATGCTGTGTACTGACCTACCTGGAGGAAAGGTCAGCCTGTCACAGAATGTTATTCCTCCCCTTCACGCAGAAAACACCTCCAGACCCTGTGTGATGAATTGTGAAATGATATGCTCTCACTCTGCTAGCAGTGATTCTTGGGACAGCCCATCTCCTTGCCTGATTTGACACTAGCTATAAGAATTATAAAGCCCTCGTTAATTTCCAAGTGTGGCCCATAATGAGGAGACAGCCTGGCCTGCAGTCTGCCATGCTAAAATAATTCCTTTGGTGCCATGCTAAAATAATTCCTTGGATGGTATTAAGAGAAGGCCTCTTAATGGACTAAACTATTTGAGTGCTTTGTGAGGAGAGGAATTTTTCACACCACTAGTGCATTTACAATTTATTGGCATCTTATTATTGTGACTAAAAACATAAATACATTTTGTGAGGGGGTGCCAGTGGGGCTGGCCCTTTAAGGGGAGTTGGGCCCAGCCTCACCTATGACTAATCAGCTGCCTACCAGCTGAAGCTGTGAGGCCAGGGATCAGGTGATATAGTTGGAAGATCACCCACCCCAGCCGGAGGCAGCTGATTAGTCACAAGTGGGTCTGGGCCCAATTCCTCTTAAAGGGCCAGCCATCCTGTGGTGTGGAGGAGTTATCCTTTTAAAATGTGTATGGTGGTGAGATTTATAACTAGCTTGGAAACTGTCTAAGTTAAGAAGAGCTTTTAAGTACAATCTTTAGCATGCTCACAAAGAAATAGTGCCCAGCTAGACTCTATGCTAAAGTGTAACAGGCTAAAGAGTGCACCCCTTGATCTGCCGGTTGTGTATCTTGTCCTATAAGTATTATGCTGCAGCCTGTATTGTGATAACACTAAGAGGCCTCATTGTGTTGCACAAACACAGATGCAGAAATGATCCCTGCTTATAGAGCTTTCAATCTAGTTTGAAATTAGATGTGACAAATAAATAGAAGTGAGGGCTGGGGAAGAGAACAAGATCAC